CTCCAGCCGCGCCCTGGCCACGGCGGCCGGGAAATTCCTGTTCCACAGGTGAAAATTCCCGGAATTCCGGCCCCAAATCCCGGGAATTCCCAGCCAAAAATCCCGGGAATTCCCAGCCAAAAATCCCGGGAATTCTGACCCCAAATCCCGGGAATTCCCAGCCAAAAATCCCGGGATTTCAGTCCCAAATCCCGGGAATTCCCAGCCAAAAATCCCGGGAATTCCAGCCCCAAATCCAGGGAATTCCAGCCCCAAATCCCGGGATTTCAGTCCCAAAGTCCTGGGAATTTCAGTCCCATAAACCCAGGAATTCCCGACCCAAAATCCTGGGAATTCCTGACCCAAAAGTCTGGGAATTTCTGACCCCAAATCCTGGGGTTTCAGTCCCAAAATCCCGGGAATTCTGGCCCCAAATCCTGGGAATTCCTGACCTGAAAATGTGGGAATTTCTGAGCTAAAGTCCTGGGAATTCCAGCCTGAAAATCCCGGGAATTCTGACCCAAAAATCCTGGGAATTCCCGACCCAAAATCCCGGGAATTCTGACCCCCAAAGTCCTGGAAATTCTGACCCCAAATCCCGGGAATTCCGAGCCCGGAGCCTCTGGGCTCCCCTCCCCCCCCCAGTCCCGGGGGGATTTTCTGGGAATCGGCTCCGGGTCCCTCCCAACATCTGGAATTTCCCAATCCTGGAATTTCCCAATCCCGGAATTTCCCAATCCCGAAATTTCCCAATCCCGGAATTTCCCAATCCTGGAATTTTTCCCGTTTTCCCCCCGTTTTTCCAATTTTTCCCTGTTTTTCCCCCCCTTTTTCCCGGTGTTTTTCCCATTTTTCCCCATTTTCCCCCCCATTTTTTCCCGCTTTTCCCCCCGTTTTTCCCGGTGTTTTTCCCCTTTTTCCCCCGTCTTTTCCCATTTTTCCCGGTGTTTTTGCCATTTTTCCCATTTTTCCCATTTTTCCCCCCGTTTTCCCCCCATTTTTTCCCATTTTTCCCGGTGTTTTTCCCCATTTTTCCCATTTTTCCCGGTGTTTTTCCCGTTTTTCCTGTTTTTCCCCCCGTTTTTCCCAGTGTTTTTCCCATTTTTCCCGGTGTTTTTCCCCCCGTTTTTCCCATTTTTCCCCCGTTTTTCCCGGTGTTTTTCCTGGTGTTTTTTCCAGTGTTTTTCCCATTTTCCCCATTTTCCCCATTTTTCCCCCCGTTTTTTCCCGTTTTTCCCGGTGTTTTTCCCGTTTTTCCCGTTTTTCCCGTTTTTCCCGTTTTCCCCCCGTTTTTCCCATTTTTCCCGTTTTTTCCCATTTTTCCCCCGTTTTTCCCGGTGTTTTTCCCGTTTTTTCCCGTTTTTCCCGTTTTTTCCCGTTTTTCCCCCGTTTCCCAGGCTCCTGGATCCGCAGCGCCGCGGGAACGGCCCCGGGGACAATCGGAGCTTCTTCCTCAGCCTCGTCGGCTTCTTCCTGGAATCCGGGGTGAGGGAAAAGCCGGGAATGCCGGGAATTCCAGAGGGGGAAAATCCGGGAATTCCGGGAATGCCAGAGGGGGAAAAATCCGGGAATTCCCGAGGGGGAAAATCCGGAAATTCCGGGAATTCCCGAGGGGGAAAATCCGGGAATGCCGGGAATTCCAGAGGGGGAAAATCCGGGAATTCCAGAGGGGGAAAAATCCGGGAATGCCGGGAATTCCAGAGGGGGAAAAATCCGGGAATGCCAGAGGGGAAAAATCCGGGAATGCCGGGAATGCCCGAGGGGGAAAATCCGGGAATGCCGGGAATTCCAGAGGGGGAAAATCCGGGAATGCCAGAGGGGGAAAATCCGGGAATTCTGGAGGGGAAATCTGGGGGAGGAAATCCGGGAATGCTGGGCGGAAAAATCCAGGAATTCCGAGCGGGAATTTTTGGGCAATGTTTTGGGAATGTTCTGGGATTTTTTTGGGAATTTTTTTGGAATTTTTGCAGATTTTTTTTCTGGAACGTTCTGGGAATTTTTTGGGAATATTTTGGGAATGTTCTGGGAACGTTCTGGGAATATTTCAGGAATTTTTTGGGATTTTTTGGGGAATATTTCGGGAATGTTTTGGGAACGTTCCAGGAATTATTTGGGAATATTCTGGGAACGTTCTGGGATTTTTTTGGGAATATTTTGGGAATATTCTGGGAACGTTGTGGGATTTTTTGGGAATATTTTGGGAATATTCTGGGAATGTTCTGGGATTTTTTTGGGAATATTTTGGGAATATTCTGGGAACGTTCTGGGGTTTTTTTGGGATTTTTTTGGGAATGTTGTGGGAACATTCTGGGATTTTTTGGGGATTTTTTGGGAATATTCTGGGAACGTTCTGGGGTTTTTTTGGGATTTTTTGGGAATGTTGTGGGAACATTCTGGGATTTTTTGGGAATATTCTGGGAATTTTTTGGGAACGTTCTGGGATTTTTTTGGGATTTTTTGGGATTTTTTTGGGAATATTCTGGGAACGTTCTGGGAACGTTCTGGGAACGTTCTGGGATTTTTTTGGGATTTTTTTGGGAATATTTTGGGAATATTCTGGGAACGTTCTGGGATTTTTTTGGGATTTTTTGGGAATACTCTGGGAACGCTGTGGGAACATTTCCGGAACGTTCCGGCGCAGCTGCACGAGCACGGCGCGTACCTGGTGGATTCCCTGTGGGATTGCGCCGGGAGCCGCCTGCGGGACTGGGACACGGCAACAGGGATGTTACTGGGGAACGGTGAGAGTTATACTGGGATAAACTGGGATAAACTGGGAATGGGACTGGGACACGGCGATAGGGATGTTACTGGGGAACGGTGAGTGGGAAACTGGTTTATACTGGGATAAACTGGGATTGAACTGGGACACGGCGATAGGAATGTTACTGGGGAACGGTGAGAGTTATACTGGTTTATACTGGGATAAACTGGGAATGGGACTGGGATAAACTGGGATTGAACTGGGAATGGGACTGGGACACGGCGATAGGGATGTTACTGGGGAACGGTGAGTGGGAAACTGGGATAAACTGGGAGAGACTGGGATAAACTGGGAATGGGACTGGGATAAACTGGGATTGAACTGGGACACGGCGATAGGGATGTTACTGGGGAATGGTGAGAGTTATACTGGGATAAACTGGGAATGGGACTGGGACATGGCGATAGGGATGTTACTGGGGAATGGTGAGAGTTATACTGGGATAAACTGGGATAAACTGGGATAAACTGGGATAAACTGGGACACGGCGATAGGGATGTTACTGGGGAACGGTGAGTGGGAAACTGGTTTATACTGGGATAAACTGGGATTGAACTGGGATTGAACTGGGACACGGCGATAGCGATGTTACTGGGAAATGGTGAGTGGGAAACTGGGATAAACTGGGATAAACTGGGAATGGGACTGGGATGGACTGGGATAGACTGGGATAAACTGGGAATGGGACTGGGATTGAACTGGGATTGAACTGGGACACGGCGATAGGGATGTTACTGGGGAATGGTGAGAGTTAAACTGGGATAAACTGGGAATGGGACTGGGACAGACTGGGAATGGGACTGGGACATGGCGATAGGGATGTTACTGGGGAATGGTGAGAGTTATACTGGGATAAACTGGGATAAACTGGGATAAACTGGGATAAACTGGGACACGGCGATAGGGATGTTACTGGGGAACGGTGAGTGGGAAACTGGTTTATACTGGGATAAACTGGGATTGAACTGGGATTGAACTGGGACACGGCGATAGCGATGTTACTGGGAAATGGTGAGTGGGAAACTGGGATAAACTGGGATAGACTGGGATAGACTGGGAATGGGACTGGGACACCGTGATAGGGATGTTACTGGGGAACGGTGAGAGTTAAACTGGGTTATACTGGGAGAGACTGGGATGGACTGGGATGGACTGGGAGGGACTGGGAGGGACTGGGAGGGACTGGGATGGACTGGGAGGGAACTGGGATGGACTGGGAGGGAACTGGGAGGGGACTGGGATGGACTGGGATAAACTGGGAGGGGGTTTGGGG